TTCATAATGGTATTGGGCAGAGCAGGAAGGAGACTGTGTTTGGTGCCACTTTTTATGGTCAGCACTGAGCCACCTACAGGCCAATCCAGAAGCTTGCTAGAAGTGCCAGGGCTGACCATAAAAAGTGGCACCAAACACAGTCTCCTTCCTGCTCTGCCCAATACCATTATGAAAATTCCATCTTCTTTCCTTGTAATTATTAGTTTGCTATGGTGTCCCAGTACTTTCCTGAGGAATTGAAATTAGGGGGGGTGTTCTAATTTATGGGGGGTGGGGGTTGGAAAATGACTAAATTGGCAATACTGCAGGTAACTATTTGACCATTGGGGAGATATGGGGGAGTTCTGGGGGAATGTAGGGAAATCCCTGGTGTCCATATTTCCTTGCTCTGTCAGTATAGATTTGTGTGTTGTCGATTGGGTGTTGTGGACTATTTCAATTGCAGTCAACAGTATGAGCAGGTACATTAGGACTTTAAATCAATTGTGGGGGTGTGCATCTCACAGGTGCTGTCTGTTGGCTAAACAAGCACCAGTTTTATGGTTTGTATTGAAGTATTGCAAATTTGGGCATGCGGCCTCTGGCAATAGAAGTTAAATTCCTTAATGGAGATAGATTTGTTGGGAGGTGGTTGGTTACTCCCAGTGCCACAGAGACTGGAAGCAGAGAATAATGACCTTTCCTGTAAATTAACCATCACCCCACATTCAACACAGGAGGAGGTTAGGTACAGAGATTGCTGAGCTTTTATGAGGTCTGGTGGTTTCCTTGTGCAGTAGCCATCATAAGCTGCAGGCCTGGGTTAGGCCTGGGAATTAGGCAGGATCCGACAGGGCATTGTGCTTAAGTGGTGGTTAAGTCTGGGGCAGATAAAATATTTTGGATTTGGGCATCAAAAAGAGATGCTATTGTGTTTGCCTTTTCATTACTGCCAGGACCAGTTGCTTTGAGGAAGTATCCTGTCTAAGGTGCTACAGTGTAATAAAGTTGCAGACAGTTGGCCAAAATCCAGATATCCATCTCCATCCTCACCGGTCCCTGCCATTTGCAATTCCCTGTTCATGAGTTTTGCTTTACTCACAAATGTCTGCACACAGCTATAATTTAACCAGTTCAGGATTCTAGATGATTTTTGAAAAAGAACATTTATTTTGCTCTTAGCTTGACCTTTGTTTCATGTGGCCATGTGACCTCTACAAAACCCAACTGGAGAATAATAATTATTGGCATCATCGGTCTCCTGGCATTAGCAACAACAGTGGTTTAGTTACTGAGATTCATAAACCTTGGATTAATTGGATTCCACTTGTGGCTTTGTATTCTTGCAATTCAACCACAATTATTAGGATTCAGTAAGGGAGCACCTGTCCTGTAAAACTAAAAAACCCAGTAAATATTAATTATATCCTTTCTTTTTTATTATTATTCTGTGGGTTTGGAACTATTAAGCCTAATACAACTCACTTGCTTCTTTGCCTGTGATTTGTTTGGTCATGTTAAATAGTTGAGGCTCATCTGTGAATGACATTGGCAAGAGTCTGTGGTTTTATCACTCATTGGAGCCAACTGGAAAAAAGCACACTTCCTTACTAGTAGCATACTATGGGTAGGCAGGCTAAAAACTAAGGAAGTCTAAACAATAGCGCTGTGAGCTGTTAAGTACAACTCTTAAGACTTTCAATAGATGCAACTTCCTTTCAGTTACTGTCAACACAGAAGTGTGCACTGGAAACGCAAGAAACATATTACACAAATAAAAAGCAGCGTTGGTCACTGTGGTGTGATATTCGTTTCTGACACAAAAACATAAAGCAGATTATCAGCATAGCCAATGTAAAAACTAAACATATTCCATACCAAAAAAAAAAAGACAGTGATTCTCCAGGTTGGCTTACTGTGTTGTAGCAATAGTGGTTAGCACTTATATAGCACTTTATAAGTGCAAAGTGTGGTACAAACTCTAATTAATCCTCACAACAACATGACAAGGTAATTAAAATAATCCTAACCTGTATTTCTTGGAGTTTTCACGATAACTGCCTTGGAAGATTCTAGAATCTCTGGAATTTTAGGAAGGTAAGATGTGTGCTACTAAATGTGTTAAACATCAGTGACCTCCTTCCTGATGCGTGTTAGTACCCTGCACTCCCTTACTTCTTTGTTAGTGAGGATCTCATTTGTGCCATTTTTATCTCACTTTCTCCCAGTTTCTCTTCCCATTACCAGAACAAAAAATGGAGTGACATATTTTCATTTCTGTTATTTTTTAAAGAAAAAAATAGTGGTTTCTTATTTATTCCAGTAACATTTAAACATACCGGAGCCCTTATTGCTGACTTACCACCACCAAAGAGAAGAAGACATTTCAAGAGTTTGGCCTGTAAATGGATTGTATTGCAGCTCTGCAGGACAAATGTGTGTCATGTTCGAGCCCAGTGACGCCTAGACTTTATTCCAAAAGCCCATGGGGCCTGGACTTGACGGCCCAGGAGGTCCCATTCAGTCCTATGTAGTGGTGGTTCGTGACTTTTTTGGCAGGTGAGGCTCAAATCACAAAATAGCTGTTTCCCTAACCCTACCCAATGTATAATTGAATAGCTATTGAAAGCTTACCTTATTTACAGTGAAGAAGCAACAGGTGGACCAGGGAGTTGGAGCTACTACAACTACCTTGGCCAGCATGGGGGGCGGAGCCGGAGGCAGACCTAAGGCTCAGCAGTGGCTTCTTGCACGCATGCACAAGGCCTGCCCCCATGCAGAAGGGTCCAGGGAGGGGCAAGACGCTGCATCCCAACCCCTTTCAAACCTCCTGCAGCCCAGGCTTAACTGCTACAATCCTGCTGTGGCCTCATCAAGCAGTAGTCAACACAGCAACACCCTTACGTAGAGACTCCTGGGCATGGCAAATTCCCATGGTAACAAGGCAGTTTGGAGAGGTATACCATTTGCTATACCAAGATTTGAGCTTCATGCAGCACTACATTCTTCGACCTTTCTGGCGTTGTGTTTTGCTACAGGACACAGTGAGTACTGACATTTAAATCAAATTTTGCCCTTAAATCTATAGATGGCAATTAAATAAAAAAGAATATGCAAAATGTATTTTGGGAATTCTTGATTAGGCTGTGCCTCACTTGCCTAGGCTGACAAGCTGCTCCTCCTCCTGTGTAGGCAACGTACAGGCAGAGAGCTTGGTCTTTTCTGCCTTGTGATCTTTTCCTTTAGTTAAGTATTTCTGTCCTCCCAGAAGAATCTCTAGGCCTCCAGGAGCCCCTGTTCATAATCAACCTGTTGCCGGCACAGAGGTCCCGAGGGGGGCAACACTGGGGTTCGTTGCCCGGTGTGCTTCGCGCCAATGAACACACCAGGGTGGAGAAGCAGATAAAGTTTATTCGAGATCTCTGAAAAGGCACTAGGAGACCAGCATGTCTCAAATCAAGCGCCCAGATACAAACAGTTTTTCCCTTTTATACCCAAGTTGTTTACTTCAGCTTAGTTTCCCCCTTCCTTCCCTCCCTCCCTCCCCTTCCTTCCCCTGTAGCAGTTACATTAAGCAATTTTGTCTGCTGTAATTGTAGCTTGTTAGTAATTTTCCCTTCTGCAAGTTATCTTGTCCTTCAGCTGGAGGCATGTAGGCCCCCTTATCTCTACCGCTTTAGACAGGTTTGAGCTGTGTGGCAACTGATAGCTGACTATTACACATCCTGCTTTTCAGCTGCTGGCATTTTAGGTCAGTTAGAGTTCAACATGGAGAAGCTTTGGTTCACTTTGGCCTAGAGCAGGAGGGCTTCATCGACACTCGTGGTCTTCCGCCCCCCCTCATCCCCCCGAGTTACCTAGGGTGATGCCTAGTGACACCAACAAACCTATAGTTGTATCATCTTTGAGGATAAATGACTAAAGCAAGTGTGTAATTTCTAAATGAAGCTGTAATTCAGAAATGTCTCTAGCTGATGTCATCATACAATGCTTCCAAAATTAAGTCCCATACCTTGTCTCCCCCAAGCAATCACAAAAATCCACAGAAACGTCTGTGTCTATAAGACCACATCTAACAAATATCCAGAGCCATCCCTTAGGTACGACAAATTGGGGTGACCGCCATGGGCCCCATGCTTTGGGGGACCCTGCGCTTCGATAAAATCGTGATGAGGCAGGAGGCAGGCATGCAAGAGGGGTGAGGAGGTGAACGGGGAGGCGAGTGGCAGGCGGACAGTCGGGCGGGGGGCTGCAAGGAGGAGCCCTCCTACCAGAACCTTCCCCTCCCCACAGCACCTCCTGTCCGCCAGCAGGCCCCACCTATCAGCACCTCCCCTTCCCTCTCAGCACCTACCGCCTGCCATGGATCAGATGTTTTGTGGTGTCCGGAGGCACTGGGGGGGGGAGGGGAGAGGAGCGAGGGTGCAGCACGCTTGGGAGAGGGGCGGAACTGGGTGGGGAAGATGCGGGGCAGGAAGATGCAGGGGGGTGGAGTGGGGCTGGGAAGAAGCAGGGCCTTCTTGGAAGGGGTGGGGCCTTGGGGAAAGGGTGGAGTTGGGGTGGGGCCCGGGCAGAGCCGGTGGGGAGCCCTCCCCCTCCACCCCTGGCAGATTAGAAACTCGGCGCCTATGTCCTGGGCCCTGCACCCCCCTAGAGACTAGGGACGGCCCTGCAAATATCATATGGAAAGGAACTATTTTCCATGATATAGGTAAGGTCAGAATTAGGGTTACAATGGAAATTGGCTTAGTATGGATTGCTACTTCTGACTCCATATTAAACACAAAATTAAGTGTTTGTTTTACCTTATTTTTCAAAAAGCACTTACATTTATTTTTCAGTCTTTTACTTGAGTTGACTTTGAAGAGTTGTATATATCAACTGTTAACTTGTTTTATACTAATGGATTATTTTGCTGTGTGACATCACAGAAAAAAATTATAGTAAAGCTCTAAAGAAATGAGATTAGAAAAATCTTAATCTAGATTAAATACTTGGAAAAGTTGCATTTTTGAAATTATTAGTTTCAACCCTTCATGCTTTGGAGTGATAAATGAATATCTTAAAATGCCAATAGATCTGGGTGGGAAGTGGAAAGCCACCATAATTCAATTAATCGCAGAATATTGGATGCCTCTTTGTCAATGCTAAAGCAACTCAAACACTCACATGCTCAGCTGTTACTGTTTCACAATGAGAACTACAGTTGCCATTAAGAGTCTGTTGCCAGCAAAAACATCCGTTGGGTTCATTTTACCACCAAATATTTTTACACTTCTGCACTAATAAATATAAACTACCCTGGCTGGAACAGACGTACAATCCTACTGATCCTTATAGTGCAACAGGCAGAGTTTTAACCAGTTTTGCTCTACTTCAGCATTCTCAAATGCAGGCTCTGGCTGCACGGTGGATCTTCGACACTGACTTTAACCTCACAAAACTGAGAATCAACAGGAAAATAAAAAATCCCGATCGGATAACCTTGCATTGCTAACATGCTGCACTATACACATTTCACTTACAAGAAATGTGAAGGTATTGGCTTGTATGCTGCTCTTGTCATACACAATTTGAAAGACTGAAGAAGGTACATTCTCTCAATGCAAGAGAAACTTGCTCAGTCCTAACGTTTTGAAACATTTTGGCTTCTGGGGGGAAAATGCCAAATGCTTAATAAAGACATTTGTCTGTTGGTCTTGGCTATATTTTATATTTTAACTTTGGTAGTTAAAAATATATAACAAAAGAATGTAATCAATGGAGGAGAAGTATATACATATGAAGAATGCCTGCTACTCCATGTAAGATGGCTACTATAGATCATACCCAGGGCCATCTTATATCTGCAGTGGGTTCTCACATAATCATGTTGGTGCACAGGCTTCTGTTACAATTGAGATAGTGTAGCTGATGACAGGGGGAACTAAACAGAGATTACATGCTCAATCGGTTTCTCCTTTTATTGTATTTTTTGCGATTGATTCTCTAGTCACTTGACATAAAGCAGGAGCATTGCCTGAATGAACAGTGCACTTTGAATGGGGCTGACTTATGTACTGCATCTGAGCTCTTTTTAGGAACCTGCCAAGTATTTCAGTACTGAAAATTATACATGTTTTCAGTGTTGCATAAGGCTTATATTGCTGAACTCTCCAATATTTATTTTTAATGGGAATGTTGCCAGAATGAGGAATGCAGGATTGGAACCACAGTTCTGCTTTTTCCTCTAAGCATCAGTGAGAAATTGCACACGCATATATTGAATGTTGTAGGTTTTATACAATATTAAAACTGGGGCTGTTCTGCCATCATTGTAGTAGTACTTGTATTACAGCAATTTTGTAACCGATACACCCTAGAGGTGTGTAAAATACTTGTGGCAGAACTTAGTTTCCTGTGAAATTTTTCACGTCAGTGAACATTTTAAAGTGAAGTGATAGCACAAATGTCTTGGGTTGGATTTTTGAGCTCAGGAAGTTTAGCAGAAGTCATTTTGACTTATTTGTATTGCGGTAGCATGCAGGAGCCCAAATCACAGACCAGGACCCTATTGTGTCAGGCACTGTACAAACATAGACTTGTGTGGGTTGGAAGAAGAGGAAATATCCCGTAAAGATTCTAGAATGGAAGTAGGCTAGTCATATGCAAGATAAATTAGACTGGAGTAATAGACGCTTGTCCTACTCATTAAGAAGACAATGAAATATAAAAGGAAGGAAATGTCTCAGGGATGGTTATGGGGAGAGGAGTTGTCTGCAAAAGGAGGATCATGAGGCCAATATAGGCCTCCATAGATTTAGATAGTTTCTAATAAACATACAAGCAATGAATGAAAATGACTGTGTTATAAACCTTGTGGCACATTGGGAAAATTCAGTCCTGCTCCTCTGTTCATTGCTCTTCTACTGTAGTCTTTAGAAGTTAGAATAACACTAGTGCTGTAGAGCGAATACAGTATTTATTCACAGGAACTTGCTGTTCAGCATGTTACTTTTCAACATAAAAATACAGTAATTACTTCATTTCATGGCTTATAAGAGCACTGATCTCCACGTCTAGTATTTCATCTCAGCTAATGACTAGGTGGATAGAAAGATTAGGAACATAAATGGAGGTGTAATGTAACAAAGAACTTTTAAACGTTAAAATCTCATACAAAACTCATGAAGAAATTTTAACACGGTGGTACTATGATTATAATGCCTGGAACCAGTTACATCTCTGCCAACAGTATTCTGTGTAAACTACAGTATTCTAGTCAAAAAGGCCAAAAGATTAGAAAGTAACAAATGACAATAACATCATCTAGTATCTCTGCTGAATTTCAGTAGTGACCTTAATCTTACAATATGGCAAAAATAAGGCAGGATGGCTTGGTAACAAATTAAATGACTCTCGTTGTAGCAGGGGGAAAACCTCAAAGGTTCAAAGGTGTAGTTTGGCTAAACCTTGAGAAGCCCAAATGATTGTCTGAGGCTTAACCAAATGTAGCCAGACATCTGTGATTCAGAAATCATGCTGGAAATGTTAGGATAGCGTAGACCAAGCCCTGCTGGCCTGTCTCATACAAGTAGTCCCATTTAAGCCATTGTGACTACTTCTTGAGTATGATCAGGATTTAGCCACGGGTTGGATCTTGAAAAAGTCTTGGTTTCTGCTGACTAAGAAACACCATGAGAATAGCTTTCTTGAGGTACTTAGGTATTTCCACTTCTGCCAAAGCCAGGCAGTACTAAGAAAGATTAATAAATTGTATTGAACCTTAATAAAGATTTGGGTCCATTCTTATTTTATCCAGACTGGTTCACTGACCCTCTGATTTAAATTATGAGTAGCAGATCCTGGGCCAAATTATGAGAGTGAAAAGGTAATCATGAGGTGCTTAACCACAGGGACCTGGGTTCAGTGCCCAGATCCGTGACACACTTTCTATGTGACGTTTTTCAAGTCACTTACAGCCATTTTCTCAGGTGGTGGAAATCAGCATAGCTCGAAAGAAGTCAATGGACCTATGTCAGTATACACTTACTAAGGCTCTAAC